CACCTACTTATCCATTTCGCTTCGCACTGCCGGGGCTGCAACATCGACTACCACCGGATCGCGTTTACTATGAAAAGGAAGATGGAGGAGGATCTCGACGTGTTGTTGGACGAGACGTTGACGCTATGCAAAACACCCCCCGTTCCGCGACGCAATCCGCATCGCGTCTTCTATCAGTACAAATGCAAAACATCGCCGCCCACGACGCCACCAAAGGAACCGGAGAACCCAGAGATGGAGATGAAAGGACCGCCCATGTTCCACTTTGGAGGGCAAACCGAGTTGGTCCCTAAGCCCCTCTTCGCCAGGAGCAACTCGCTGCCGTCACAATCCGTCCGACCATCGCTACCATCTCGCCCATCCGAGCCTTTCCAGTTCAACGCCGACGACATCGTCAAAAGCCCGACACCTTTGTTCGGCAGAAGGAACACGCTGCCATCCAAGGTGCGACGCGCTGTTGCCGCCGAAAGAAAGCCATCGCCGTTGTCGCGCGGAGAGGGAGTGCGATCGTCGCAATCGGCCCACACCACCACCAAGGAGCCCACGTCACCAGCGCTGCCACGTAAGGAACCCAACACCACGCCGAACCCAAAAGCGAAAACCACCAAGTCGCAATTCGCGACTCCGCAGAGGACCCCCCGTGTTGTCGACATCAAAAGACCATCACCACTTTCTGGCAAGGGAAGTGCGCGACGACCCGGTCCCACCCGATTCGCTCCTGTGGAACCCCCATCGCCGATAGTACTGTCACCCGTCATCTCCAACAGCTCTGCGACTTCATCGCCATCGCCATCTGTCTTCTCCGAAGCGGCCAGTTTCTCTGCATCGAGCCCATCAACACCTGCCACGTCACCACCTGGCTCTCCAATGGTGCCAACAACACACGCTCGCTCGCAGTCGCTAAGTTATTTTCCGCCGTCTCATTGGACCATCAAGCCCTCGCCTTCCCCGATCTACGTCCCCAGGCAAAAGTTGAGGAGGAAGGACAGTCCCAAAATGGAGACTCTTCGCACACTAAGAGCGAAGGAGTCGGACATGATGCTGCAACAAATTTACGACCAACATTGGGAAGCATACCGCGCAAAACTACTTGTAAGTTCTGTCAACGCACCTTCCACGCAGCACTCACTAACCTGGCGTAGAATATGACTAGCGGACTCCGCGCTGCAGAGCGACTTTAACGATCACGATTTATGACTTAACGACTTCAAGACGAGGGCATGCATGGCGTCACACGGCATCTGATTATAATACCCCGGGTTTGGATATATGGGCGCATTTAGAAACCGATTTGCATTTACGGTCTGCATTCACGGTCACAAGCGTTTTAACATATGGGTATACACTGTAATCTAATAGAGCACAGGGCACTACAGCCCTGGTTTGATTCCAACATAATCTTCGTCGACGTCTCTGAGCGAGCGAGCGGCGCACACTTTCGTGCTGCGGAGCCTCAGCTGCACGCATGCACAGCTTACATCACCCGCGCATGGCAGCTGACCTTGATAGCACGCAGCCCCATCGTGCGGCGCTAGTGATTGGTTGACACATCTGACAAGCGCAGCAGACAGCCTCACCAGGCCTTAGCTGCCTATTCTCCCCGCTGCACCCGCCACCTGATATTTGTTCACCAACTTTACTCCTTTTGGAGATGCAACTCGCAACACATGAACTCCCAAGGTAAACGTACATTGTCTGTGCTATATCCAGACCGCCTGCGCCGCACATCCGTCGTGGCGCAGCGCGTAGCCCTGTTATGTGTAAAGGTGGGCCTGACCTAGCCACCATAGGCTAAGCAGGCGCGTAAGATGGCCCCCAAATGGATACCCATATGCCTCGAGCGTTCTCCATGTTCGCATTGACGCGGAACAGCACATCAAACTGTAGTTATGTGGGGGGTGTGGCACAGGACTTATAGGAGGCTTGTTCCCACTTCCCATGGTTTTCGATGATTTTCTGGTAGCATTCTGAGATCGCGTTTCTGCCCTGGTGGCACGTCATTTGTTTCATACCACAAAGCGCAGCCTTGTAGGCAGCCTTGGGACCTTTCTGCAGACGACTCAACATCTGACTCACGCCTCGTCGTTGCCACTGTAACACGTATCGATTTGGAAGAGGCCGCCTCGTGCCAGTCATGCGTATGAGTCGGAGGCGGGTTTAGTGTTTGACTCGACAACTTCAGTGCAGTATCCTCAACTCACAAGCAAACGTCTCGCGACTGTATTCAAAACACAGTATACCATCGCCGTTCACGAAAACCCCGGATCGCCAGAAACTGATACTGACGACACCGACATCTGTTGCCTTTCTCGGCGCCAACAACCATGGAATCCTCAAACCCAGAGAGAAATGACAACGCGCCGCTGCGCTTGCTCTCGCTAGATGGAGGGGGTGTACGGGGCCTGTCGTCTCTGTTGGTACTTCAGAACCTGATGGAGAACATAGCCTTGGAAGAGAAGAGGTTAGGAAGGAAAGCCATGAACGACCACGAACCGCTAAAACCGTGCGACTACTTCGACCTTATTGGAGGCACATCAACGGGTGGCATAATAGCCATCATGCTGTCACGATTGCGACTCGATTGCAAAACCTGCATCGCTGTATACAGTAAATTAGCGGAGCAAATCTTCAAGCACGATCGATCAATAAAGGCGTTTGGCATGAAGATCCCCACAGGAGCAAGTCGGTTTTCCGGTGCCGTTCTCGCAAATGCCATCAAGTCTGCGTTGAAAGACCTCGGCTTCGATCCAGATGAACTAATGTGGGATGAGGCGCTTTTTGAAGAAGTGGATGAAGCGGCTGATCTACCCAGAGACAGCATTTGGGCAGATGCGCCGCCAGCGCCGGTAATCACAGAGAGTCCGGTTGGCACACTCAAGAACTCGCTGTGCTCGTTGGAATCAGGCCCTCCTGAAAGTGTCGATAGCACGAAGAATCTGTCTACACTGTTTAGCGACAGTCCATTCGGCCCGCGAAAGCCAATGCGAAGCGCTACTTGGAAGCTCCATCACCGGCAATCAGTTCACAAAAAGGCAAACGCGAAGGGGTGCCGCGGCTTTGTACTTACTTCCCTCAAGAACGCGTTGGGCCTTCCCCGAATACTGTCTACCTACGATCCCAATGACCGGACGACGAGAATCTGGGAAGCGCTAAGAGCTACATCTGCAGCACCAACCTTCTTCGAAGAGATGCAATTCGGCACGCCTAAAGTTACCTATCTAGACGGCGGCGTAGGCTTCAACAACCCTTGCGCAGAAGTCGACTACGCGGCAAAGGCGCTGTGGGAAGGCCGCTCCATCGGTGTCATCGTCTCCGTAGGCACCGGTCTACAAAGCATCCCCAGCGTAAAGAAGATGGCATCTTGGCTGCCCTTCGGCCTCGGAACAGACATATCCATAGCCAGCGCACTCACGGGCATGGCAACAAGCACCGCACGCGTCGACAACGAAATGAAGCGCATGTACAACAACTCCGACACCAAGTACTTCCGCTTCGACGTCGACCGCGGCCTCGCAGACGTTAGCCTAGAGCAATGGATGAAAGAAGACGAAATGGCCTCCCTAACCGAACTCTACATGAACGACGGCGAGCAAATCCGGTCCGCCAAAGACTTCGGTCAACGCATGGCCAAACTCTCCGCCTTGCCCCCCAAATTCGAAATCAGCGCTTCCCACTTCCGTCTAGGCATGACCGGACGCGGCCTCCTTGATTCCTCCTTCCAACTCGCGCAGGTCGACTTCAAAACAGGTATGCCGTTAGGGGTTTCCCCACACCTCGATGACATACCACGCATGTCTCAATACCGCGACCTCTCGCCCAGTGGTGAAAGTGGACTCGCCCTCGACAACGCAACCGGCCGCCTCAAACGCATCTTCCCTGTAGCCGAAGACCTGGACCACGATGGCCGCCGCGAAGAAGCCGCAGTATACCAGTGCATCAAAGCCGATAACATCTGTCTCCGCACGATAAAAACAGGTATACCACAAGGCAAATACAAAGTCCAGTTCCTCGTCTCCTTCCACAATAGCACGCATACGCCGCCTCGCGATCTTGTCTTCAGCGTCGGGAAACCGTTTGATCCGTCAACCTTCTCGCAGCGTTATGTCGATGTTAAGATTACGCCGGATGTGGGAAGTGTGCTGTTGCATCCTGACGCTGTGAGGGTCAGGGTGGGGTCGAGACGGTATGAGGAGCTCAAGGGAAAGGGGTGGGCGGAGATTGAAGGGGACATCGAGGTTAGTGTGGGGTTGGACGGGGCGTTGGGGTTTATCGTTAGTAAGAAGTTTGAAGATGGGGTTTTTGTTGATGGATGGAGTTTTGGCGGGGTGAGGTTGGAGCCGGTGTTTGGGACTGCGGGTGGGGTGGTGACGAGTCCAAGGATTTTGACATGATTAATTGACCGTGTGTTATGGGAATGCTATGCTAGCGGGTGGTTGGTAATCGCTTATCGGCTTTCGATGTGTACAAACTTTGTTAGGGATTTCCTGACGGGTGTCTGGAGGAGGTTATCTTAATGGCAAAGTTTGAGGTAATATTTATCAGGCAGGAATTATAGACCATGTAGTTCACGGATCATAGCAGCGGAGCGCATATTCGTTCAAGGAAACAGTAACTTTTATTAAACTGTGTACCATTTCAATGATTGAGACACACCCCATGCAAACACCGAATAGTGCCGATACGTGTGTTAAAGAGCGACGATAGTTGGAATTATCGTGTAAAGACAAGCAATGTGATTGGCTTGCCTAGCGTTGACCAGTGAGACCCATTCGACAGTGTCGGCATACGTCAGGAGCAAGATCCCGATGCTCAGACTGTGGGGGAAGCAGTCGGGCAGGTGGTAACGCTGACGGTGTTGAAGACAGTGGTAGGCACGCTCGTGGTGGAGGTGATCGTAGTAGAGGCAAGAGTGAAAACCGTCGCTGTAGCGGTACCGGAGACGGGTGTCGAGGTACTATCATTGATAAGCGAATGCATGATAAAAGCAAAGAATACAGTACTTACGTGGTAACGGTAGTCCTGGCAGTAGCAGTCGAAGTCGCAGTGACTTGAGCCTGAGTGAATGTGAAGTCAGGACCGAAGAAGCCGGCACGCTTCTCCAATTTCGCCTTGGAATCGTCAAGCGCGGCACGCTTGTTCAGCTTCGCCTTGGGAGCGCCAAACGCGACGCGCTTGCGGTGAAGCTTGAAGGTGGAGCAGCCGGAAAGCTTGCGTCCTCCAATGATGTTTGAGTTAACGCGGACGTCACCGATGCTGCCCTTCATGTAGCAAGCACCAGGCTTGCCAATGACCCAGGAAACATTGACACAGCCAGTAGTGTTGTCACAGGCTTGGAGACACTGCTCGTAAGTGTCGGTGTACACGAGACCGTTCTCAACTAGATACAACATTAACTTGTGTGCGTTGCAACAATGAACAGGGGAACTTACGGTCATTGCCGAAGCGGTCAGAGCTGCACTCGACAGCATATACTGCACCACATGACGTTGTAACCATTGAGCCATTGGAACCAGGGCAGCTAGTAGCGCCTGTTGGGCTCGCAGCAGGAGCGCTCGATGATGCAGCAGGAGCGCTCGATGATGCAGCAGGAGCACTCGATGATGCAGCAAGGGTGCTTGATGATGCAGCGAAGACGCTAGCAGGTGTGCATGCGCACTGGTATGCTGTGTTGGAGATCGTCGTAGTGACAGTAACGGTAGAGGGTCCGGGAGCGGGCGCAGCTGAAGTGACTGGAGCTGAGCTTGCTGCTACTGCCGAAGAAGAAGAGGAGACAGAAGAGGAAACACGGGATGAGGTAGACACAGGCGAGGAGGCAGCCACGGATGAGGAAGCAGCCACGGATGAGGAAGCAGCCACGGATGAGGAAGCAGCCACGGACGAGGAGGCAGGTGCCGCCGAGGATGCGGCCGCAGACGAAGAAGCGACAGCAGACGAAGAGGCAGGTGCCATCGACGATGCGGCCGCAGAGGAGGAGGCAGAAGCCATGGAAGAAGCACTGGTTGCCGACTTAGTTGAGATGCTGCGGACCAGTCTTCCACCAATAATGTTGCTGTTCGAACCGGCAGCGTTGGCTGCGCTCTTCAGGTAGCAAGGACCGTTGATGACGTAGCTGGCAGCGACACAGCCTGAAGTGGTAGAACAGTCTGCCAAGCAGCCCTCGTAGGAGCTGGGGTAGGTCGGGCTCATTGGGCCTGGAATATCGCCACCCATATAGTCGGCACCGCACTCGACTAGATATTGCATGCCGTTGACAGTGACAAGGGAGTTGTTGGAGCCAGGGCAAGAAACACTAGCGCCAGAACTGGCAGCAGGGCTGGAAGATGAACTTGCGGTGACGACTGTGGTGCTGACAACTGTGGTCGTGGCGACTGATTGAGAGGAAGCGCCTGCAGAAGAAGCGATCATCGAAGAAGATGAAGACACAGGGGCTGATGCAATCCTAGCACCCCAGACATTACCGTTGGACCTAGGCGCACCGACACCGTTCTTCAAGTAGCAAGGGCCGTTCGGAAGGTATGAAACAGCTTGGCAGCCAGAAGTGGCTCCGCAAGCTTGGATACACTGCTCATAGTTCGCAGGGTTGCCAGGTGCAACACCGATGTCAGAGTTAGTACGGTCGATGAAGCACTCGACGATGAAGTTTCCTTGAGGGGTGGTGAACGTCGCACCATCGCTCGCGGGGCAGGACAAGGCAGACGCAGATGGCGACGGGCTGGCTGAAGTGGGGGTGACAGAGCTGGAAGTGATGGCAACAGAGCTGGAAGCCGGGCTTGAAGAAGCAGAGCTGGAAACACGGCTTGAAGAAGCTGCGCTCGAGATAGGGCTTGCAGAGGCTGAGCTCGAGACAGGGATTGAAGAGGCTGGGCTCGAGATAGGGCTTGAAGAAGCCGGACTCGAGACAGGAGTCGAAGCGGCTGGGGTAGATACAGGGCTTGAAGAAGCGGAGCTCGAAGCAGGGGTAGAGGCTGCTGAGCTCGACGCAGCGCTTGAAGAAGCGGGGCTTGATGCCGGGCTTGAGGAAGCAGAGCTGGATGATGGGCGTGCAGATGAACTAGAAGATGCAGCCAAGGATGATGCGGCCGGAGTGGAGCTTGGTGTCGGAGTAACCGTAGTCACACTTACGACGGTGGTAGTAGCGACGGAGGCTGAAGAGGGCGATGCGATAGAAGACGGTGAAGCGGACGAGGGCGACACGATGGGAGCGGAGCTCGATGAAGTAGCCGTAGTGACGCTTACCACTGTGGTGGTTACGACAGAGGCTGAGCTAGGCGAAGGGATAGCGGAAGGTGTAGACGATGAGCTCGGGACTGGCACGGCGGATGAGCTTGGCAAGGGAATGGAAGACGCGATTGAGGACGAGCTTGGCGATGGGATAGGAGGAGGCGAAGCAGATGAGCTTGATGACGGGATAGAGAAAGGTGAAGAGATGGAGCTCGGCGTTGGCGTGACTGTCGACATGACGACCGTGGTGGTAGTAGACACTTGTGCCGACGATGATGGTACAATCGGAATGGAGGATGATCGGGAAGACGATGGCACAATGGGTGCTGGAGAAGAGCTAGAGGAACTCGGTCGAATGGATGTCGGGCAGACAGTGAAGGTCTGTGTAACAGCACTGGTGACCGGGAATGTGGAAGTAGCGATGTTTGTCTGTGTGCTAGTGGCAGAGGCGGAAGAGACTGTAGTAGTCGCCGCAGGCCTAACAGGCGCAAACGCAGTGTTGGTAGCAGTCGAAGTCGTCTGAACGACGCTTGTAGCGACAGTGCTTGGGGAAGGCTGGTCGCCGAACGCAGCAGTGAAGGCACGGGGAGTGGCAGCGAACGGGTTAAGGAACGCATAGTTATCGATCGTATAACGACCCATGTTGACCCAGTCGTAAAGGTCAGCATCCTGACAGAAAATGCCTGTATAGGTTGCCGGTACGCCTTGGGTCTGGTAAGTGCAGGTGCGGGTGTACAAAAGCAACGGGTTGGAAATGATGGGCGTGAATGTAGGCCTGGTTCCTTGATAACAGGTAGAAGTACCAGACATATAAGTCACCTGGATACCGAAGTTGTCGCCAGATCCAAAGCTATGCCTAGCTCGATCATAACTGAAGGTTGGGGTGGCCGACCCAATGAGGGACGGCAGACCCGCGGCAACGAGCGAGCAGCCTGACATGTCGGCTGGCTACTGGGAATCGAGCAAATGTAGGAGAAAAGCGAGCGTGCAGAACGAATGATTCCTGACTACAGAGAGCAGAGGGAAGCTCTTTTATGAATCCCTACCTTTCAGCTACGCGGTTGCTCAATATGATGAGTTCATGGAGTCTAGAAGGGTTAAGAGACCCTGAACCACCAACCAAAATCGTAGGCTATGGAGTTACTCCGACAGGAGGGTTCTCCTCACGTTCGATATTCGGTATGTAAATGAGGGGCCGGTTGGTGAGGCATGGGAGCATGCCATCGCTTCCACCTGGGTCGCACGGAGGGAACGCTAAACATCTTCCCGAGCAGGCTGAAAAGATGCACGAATGTTTTCGCAATTGGGAGTGTTGTACGCCTAGGTACACCTGTGTTCTCGAGGTGCGGTGTGTCGTTCATGGCACGAAACCCTTCCAAGCCTGGAAGACGCGTTTGACAGCACGGACCCCCACTAGGCGTTTAGCGCAGGGCGCCGTCGTCATCATCATGCCCGTTCACCCAGTCCGGCTCCATCTTGTCTCGAAAGGCTCACAGTTACATCCTCTGTCATGACTTCTACTTTCGATACGGACTTCGGTTTGGTTGGGCTACCGTTTTACGTACTGTATGTGCCATCTTGCTCGAAGAAAAATCTCTCTATTACCGAAGAATCCAATTTGCCAAACGTACTCCAGTCTCGAAGGGTCTTTCGCCGAACATCGCATCATGAACGATCCCTGCGTCTCTGCAACCTTTCACATATGTTGGTAGACTAAAGGAAAACCACAATACCACCCATATGTAGCCCGCATACCTTGCTAATGCAGGTCCAATATTGTCATGGCCGGCCCCTCGGTACCGTGCCTGAACAGCCATCCATTGCACAACACCCTCGATGGTGATAGCTACCGGCTGCGACATGAAGAATACGAGTTCTCCCATCTCTCTACGCGTTACCATAAACATTTGGAACTCGTGCACTAAGCAGCTAATTGCGAAAGACACATAGAGTTGAATTAATCCCGATGCGAGACTGCCTTTCCGGAGACCCAGGAGGCGCACAATGCGAGCTGCGGGTTGCGAGACCATCTGCAATAGACATTTGCGTTAGCGATGCTCGCATACCGCACGGTGGTGGAAAACTTGGAAACGATGTAAAAGTGGAATGAGGAGTCAATCCCGACCTTACCTTTCTCATTGTTTGGTGATAGACCACACTCCAGACCTGTCTCACAGACCACGCATCCCTCAACTTTCCCATTAGCGGGGGCCATTGCCACGTTTCGCATACCCCGCATGCAACGGATCCAGCCGCCATGAAGCTGTAAGCGAAGTTCAATCTTTCCCAGACCCATATCGCACCGGACCAACCAATGAGTGCATCGACCATGAGGTGATAGGGGTGGGCTTCCGATGACAGCCGTACCTCCGCAGCTGAACCCCACCCGAGCAGTAAGAGCATGGCCATAGACCGCAAGTACGTAATCATCATCTTGTGGACATGTCTGCGCACAAAGGCCCGTTTCGAAAGGCCCTCGTACGGATCGTCAGGAACGCTTTTGACCTGCCAATTCCAACCAATACCACGATGCGACGGAACCATAAGTGAACACACCCTGAGAACTTTCTGCCATGACAGGTACATCCCATCCAAAGTTCTCGCGCTCCTAGTGTCGCTGCGCTTCGGGTTTCCAATGTATGCAGGGGCATCGGGCCCTTTCTGTGGAGCCAAAATGGCGAATTCGAGGAACCAGAGAGGCACAGCAATGAAGAACGAGCTGTTGTAATAGTCGGCAGAGGGGTTACCGAAGGTGTAGCATGGTGACCTAAGGCATAAGTCTATTATCAGCGGGAACATGCAGATGGCGACCCGACGTCGGCTGGGAAAGAAGAACGGGACGATGGTAAGGACAAAGATCAGTGGTTGGTAGAGTGGCGGCATGGGCTTTCGGTCGGCGAGCTGTGGCCAAGAGTACCAAAGTGGTGTCATGCTCTCCATCGTCTTCCGCATGTTGGCGTTGATAGTTTCAGGATTAGCCATTGTCACACTTCGCGGGTTATAGTAAGAAGTTCCGGCGGGGCTCGCCAATTTTTGAAGTCGCATTGATCAGGCCACCAGCCTTGGACCGCGTCAAAGGATCCGAGCTGACGTAAACTCTGCCTCTAAGTAAAGCAAGCACTATTGCTATGGCCCATTTTCTAAGTAAGGCTAGGACAGATAGCTTTCCTCGATTTCCCATCCTCGTCTTCGGACACCCTCGTTCTCACACGTCTTCCACGTTTCCACCATCATTTTCAACTTGCGCCTCGTCTCTTTATTCACGATAGCTCGGTCCTCCTTCAACTCGTCCCCCACGAGTTGAACTAGTGCCCAGGCAACTTCGACCTTCAACAAGTCCGGTGCTGTCAACCAGCTCAACATTGTCTTATGAATGTCGCCTACGAAGGTCGCCGTCAAGATGCGATTGTTCTGGAGAGCATCGTGCAACAGATCGTGTTTGTCGTAAATATATAGAGATGTGCCAAATCGTTTTTCTCCTCTTCCGCTACCCTTGGAAGATACGATGTCAGTGGCAAGGTAGGCATTCAGGTCTCGAAGGGCTTGATGGTAGACTGGCTGGCTACTCATCTCATCGACGAGTGCCTCCAGTTGACCCGCGAAGTGTGTGCATGTTTCCTCGCGGCCCTCTTCTCCTTGATCACGTGACGGCCATGGATAATCGAGCAGGAGAAGACGCCAGGGAAAGGTATCAGGGAGGACCGAGGGTTCCCGGGCGGGGTCGCGCTCCCATCGTTGGTTGCGCAAGTTGTTTACGTAGGACACCATCGCCATCAGGATCGGTCTGCCGTGTGGTGACCACCAAGACTTTGCGATATATTTGCCACTTAGCAATCTATTGTAGAAGCCTTTCGTGAGGCTGGTGTAGGTTGGCCCGTCGTTGAATATAAACGTCGTGAAAAGATTGAGACATTGCTCTTGGATGAGTTTCGGTGTAAGAATTGTGTCGTCGGAAGAGTCCACCGCGTATTCTAGAAGTTCGATGAAGTCCGCAGAAAAGCGACCATTCCGGAGACTGCGGTCTTGCCCAAATAGTCGTATCCATGTTTGAACTTCGGGAAGTGAAGCTAGTGCAGGATCAGCGACAAGCTTCTGATTCATGGCTCGCAAAGATGCCGGAGGTCCGATGATAAAGCACAGGTATTCCACATATTCTTCCAGTATAGTATGCGGTACATGAGCCGGCTTCTTGTTGTTCTCGTTTAGTAGCAGCCTGTTCACGTACGGGTCTCGCGGGATGGATGGTATGCGAACGTCCATAAGCAACGCATCTTCAAGCCCGTACTTTCGGAGAAACAATGCTGCCCATCTCGCCGTATGATCTCTGAGGGTCTGCAGTACCGGCATCAAAACTCGGTCTACGAATTGCTGGAACTCGACCGTATCGTTCTTCTTGTTACAGAAATATTGGATAAGAGCCACTAAGACCGGTGATTCTGACCCTTCCTCGAGCGAGATGCCGGCCTGAATCTCGGGGAGCGTGAGGTCCTGTTCGCACTGCAGCCACTGCGCTTCGTCCAGCGGCTGTCTTTCGTTCAACGATCCAGCTATTGGTATGAACAACTCTAGAAGAGCAAGTACTGCGCGAGATTGGTCTTGAGAGCCAGTTTCAAACAGTACTAGGAGGCTCTTGACGATGTTGAGCCTGACGTCTACATGGGTGTTTATTTTGGAAAGTGTCGATAGCACTGAAAGAGCGTAGTCTGTTCCGTTCAAGTTAAGGTCCTGGAAAATCTGAACCAACATCTTAATCGTAGTGACTTTCACATGTGGCTCGCCAGTAGGTCGCGCAACATCGCCCTCTACTGAGCTCTCTCTGTTCATTTTTCTGGTCTGTACCATGTTGATAATCTCTTCGGAAAGAGATCCAATGCAGGATCTGGCCTGCGACGCCGGAAGTCTTCGGAGGAAACTCGGTTTTATTAGGATGCGATGCCATGAGCTCGACTTGGGCCTATCCAGGATTGTACGGACAGCTGACTGCGTGGCCAAGCCAGGTCTATCACTTTCGCCCAGTCGAGCAATGAGCTGCATAGTGACCTCATGCAGAGCTGTATGGCTGTCGGATTCTTCAACTGTGTCCGCATGATCAAGAGCTTTGACGAGGTTTCGTGAAAGCTGTGCCAGCAATGTAGGAGGTATTGTATCGATATGACCGTGTATGGCTCTGGAAGCTGTAAACTGATTTGGCTCATCAGAAGTAAGGAACTCTTCGTCCAAGTATAAAGCCGGGTATCTCGTGTCTGCTTCCGAAGGAAATGGGGTCGCTAGAAGGCGGTCGCTCTTGACGAATTTCGCGTCGAGATACAGCAGAGCCGATAACACGCCACCTTCTCCCATATCGCGCGATGAACTCCAGATAAGCCTAGCGTCCTCTTCGTAGCCAGGAACTTTAACTGGTGCTGCAACAATGGGAAAGTTCACACGGCTTCTTGAAGTCATGATTCTCGATACGCCAACTGAGAAGTCCACATAAGTCGGTGCATCAAGTTCCCGCTCGACAAAATCCGGTCTTGTCGCAAA